TCGGATTTACGCTAATGCTCTTAGAAATCATGTTCAGTACTGTATAACAAGGGGCACTTTAGAAATGTCTCTCCTCCTTTGATATATGTGTTTTCCCTATAAAGAAAGCTATATATAAAAATATATATATGTACACTTTGGGATTCAGAAGATCTAATTTGTCCCAAAAAAAAAATCAATAAATATGAAGTTTACAAGAAATCTCTTCTGTTGTTGAATAATATTAGTTATTGGTCACCGTACCACAGAAAAAAATAGCGAAGCAAATGGCTTGTCTATGTAGTAGTTTTGAGAAGACTTTTCCGTCCCGTCACGCCTCGCTCCCACCACTGAAAACGTGCTCAAAAGCTTGAGCCGTGCTTGAAAACTTGAGCCAGCGCAGTCGTGCGTGTTTGAAACGGACACCAGCAGATCTGTGTGAGCCAAACCCCTTGGACAGCCACGGCTACGTGCAAAAATCCTCGCTTGCTTTCGCAGCTTGCCCAGGCTGGGAGCTGGATTGCGCTGGCCCAGCAGACGAAGGGTGAGGGAGCCCGGGCGCGTGGCGGAGCCGGGTCGGCTGCCGAGGAGTGGGCTGGCGGCCGGGCACCACCACTGCTTTGCTTCAGGCCACTTCCCACTCTGACCTGCCAAGGAAGCGCAGGCAGAGAGGAATAAGCCCACACTGCTGCTTCAGAATTACCCTGAAAAGAGACCTTACAGCCGGCACTTCAGATAGGGGAATGTATTCCTCAGCTCACCAGGACCCTGTAGTTTAGCTTAGGAAGGGAGGCGACCCCATTTCCCACGTTCTCCGCAGGCGCTTGGATGGGGCCCGAGGCGGCGGGGCGGGCACCCCCGTGCGTGTGTGTTGGTGCGCGCGGGCGACGCCGGCTGGGTGCGCGTTGCTCTCCCGCAGCAGGAGCTGGGGACGAGGGGGGTGTGAGACTGTTCTCGCCCAACTCCTGGGTCGCCACCGCTTGCTGTGGTCCTGGCCGGAGCCGCTGCTGTCATTTGCTCATCCCCTGGTTGCTCAGGGTTTCTGAAACCGATCAAAGCAGGCAGGGAGGTCGAGGGAGAGGGAAGAGTGTAAAAAGGCAGACAAATTGCCAAAAGTAATTGTAACCATTTTTTTGCATGGTATCAGGTGGACAAGCAGTAGGAATTTCTGAATTCTCAATTTGTGAGCTGGGTTTTAACGCCCTGCTTAGGGTCGCACTCCTGTCCTGGTACAGGGCGCGGGATCGCCTTGGCTGGAGAGGCCTTGGCCTTATTCAGAGTATCAACAGTCTCCATCGTGCCACCACTGCTGGGGACGCGGTGACTCGTGCCCAGACCCGGTGACAGCCAGGCTCTCGGGGCAGCTTCTCCAGGG